AAAGACGAAATCACACACACAAAAAAACAAATTTTAAAAAATGTATTATATTTGCGGAGGAAGCATGGAAATTACATCATGTTCATTAGTAGAGGTGATAAACATTACCATTGAAATCTACCCAATGACTTTATAGACATACACAGGCACCAAGGATCCAAGTGCAACCAATTATGACTAGTAATAATCAGATAAATACAGATTAGAGATGCATGCACCAACATCTCAGTGTTAGTAGCAAAAATAATGAGTTTTTCTGCAAGGAATAATATATTCTAAAATGAAATGGAGATCTTTTTTAAAGGTTAACAACTCATTCAGTTTTATGTCTTACAGGGCTTATACTGTGTTTAATATTGTATAATTGTATTAATTCTACGGTGAACTTAGAAACTTGCACCTACTTGTCAAAGAGATGTACTCTTGCTCTGGAGTGTGTTACTGACTATGTTAAAACTGCAGTGAAATGTTTCTTCTAATCATGTAGCTATTAGAATTTTTTTTAAATGAGTAAAAAAATTCTTCAAAGCATAAACATTAGCTCCTTAATATTTAGTAGATGTGAAAAACATTACCATTGAAATGTACCTGACGACTTTATGTCTATGCTCAGTTGCCAAGGAAAATGAATTTTTCTGTATGAAACTGTGTATTTTAATAATGAAATGGAGATCCTTTTTAAAGGTTAAAACCTCATTTAATTTTATGTCTTATAGGTTTTATACTAAGTACAATATTGTATAACTGTAATAATTCAACTGTAAACCTAAAAATTACAGCCAATTTTGAAAGAAGTGCATCTTAGCTCAGAAAACTGTTATTGAATATGTCAATGGTACTGTAATGAAATGCTTCTTCTAAGTATGTTGTTATTAAATAAATTTTAAAAATGTATTTATTTAATTTTTTTTGTGTACGAGTTCCTTGCATGTATGTATGTTGTGAACTGCCATGTGGGTGCTGGGAACCAAATCCCAGTCCTTGCAAGAGCAGACAGTGCTCTTAGCCACTGAGGCATCTCTCTAACCCCCATTTTTTCCTTCATTGGGAATTATTTTTTAAATACTAAAAAATGTTTTGTTTTTTTTTAACCCAGCATGCTGACAGAAAAGGTTTCTTTCTAAAGTTCTTTGGTTTCTAATAAAAGCAAAAGCTGAATTTAAAAAAAAAATTATAGACACATTTTAGAAGAAATGTCAAGATAAAGTGCCCTTGAAATCAACTTCTTGAAATTACAACTGTCTACTGTACCTACTACACTATACAAAACTGATTAAAGCATCACTCATTTTGATGCTTCTCTGAAAGGCATTTCTAGTTCTCATTCAACACTGCTCCAGGACTAGGGGGGTGCAGCTGCTCAGGGCTGGGAGCTAGCCTAGCATGTGTGAGGGCCTGGGGAGGCACAGACACATTTGGCTTACAGTGTGATAGACTAAATATGAAACAGAATATATTTAATATGAATATGTACCACCTAAAGCACCCAAGACTGATCTGCATTTCCTGCCTTGACACATGCAAAGTTGCAGAAATAACTGAGAAAGTATTTGGAAATTTTATCCACTTAAACATGTATTAGTGCCTACCTAGAGGCAGGAGATAGCAAGAGAAATGAGACACAGCTCCTGTTCTAGTGGAGTTCATATTCTGACTGATGATATGCAATTAAATATGTACTGCTTTCCTTTCCACACCTCAGGCGTTAATATTTACACATACACTTACCAAAAAGCCCAAGTTCTCATTTTCTACCATGCTGCAGCATAGTGCAGGAAACAGAACTGAGCTGACAACCGTTAAGACCCAGTTTCTACTGTGGGCTCAGCCCCTGAGAGACTGCGTGATCTGAGACCAAGCCCTGTGTTATAATGTGCATCTCAGGGTAAACAGGCGCCTCAGATTCTGCCTGCTCTCCTTTGAATGAAGCTGTGATGCAGCATGAACTACTAAGTGTGGAAAGTGGCTTGAAAACTCTACATCAGACTGTGATGACACACAACACAGGCGATCACCTAGACTGGACATACTTGTCTACAACTACCCCTGTGAACAACACTGCCTTTGCTCTGCACTCACTAGTCCATTTAATCCTGACACAATTCTGTCCATTTTATAGAGGACAAGAGAGGCAGGCTGAGGAACAAGTCGGACTACGTGGCTCATCTATCACAGGAGGGGGTGTCTACCTTCATCGCTACTCCCAGAGCCAGGAGACGTCACTTCTTGTCTTGTTCAGGCCATAAAGATGGCTTTTGAGATCTTGCCTGCTTTCAGCCATGGTCTCATTTCAAAAAGTGGAAACAGGAATCAAAGTTCCATTCACCAAAAGGGATTCTTATGGAAGGCACAGGTAGGGAGCATGCTGAACCCCAAAATATGCAAGAGACCCAAAATCAAACTTTTTCAGGAGTGATACTATGCCATAAGTGACAAATCCTGCACCTGGCCTCATAGCCAAACACAGGCACACAAACACCACTGTATCACCTGTATGCTGTGTTTACGGTGAGTATGAATCACAATTGAGTATGTGTCTAGACTTGAGCCTCATCTGCAAACATGTCCTGCAAACATGTCATTATATGTACAGAAGCACCCCACATCTGAAAGACAAAATCAGAATCTGAAACACTTCTGGCCCCTAATATTTCAGAAAAGGCATGGCCTGTATGTAATCTATAGAATAAGAGGGAAGGCTTTCAAAGAAGCCACTTCAGGGAACTTACTAAGTCTGAACAACTATCCCAAGAAAGATCTAGAAAATTTAATCTTTAACTTCTATGCTGTTTTACTTAAAAGTTTTTCTTTACTTTCACAGCAGCTGCAAATGTTGCTTGAGAATCAGAGTTTTCTTATGGACACTGGGTTTATAAAAAATGTACAGCTGAGTTACAGATTTTACTCAACATTGTTTTCTGCTCTCCTTGAACCTGGACATTAAAAATCTTTAATATGCCAAATAATAAAAAACTAAAGTATTTGTATGAATGTGAAGCCTACAATTATCTTTGTCATAGGAAATGCAAAAACCAAGAAGCCCATATATCTAATGTCATTTACAACAGTCTGCTCTGTACTTCCAGAAGCAAAGGAAACAAAAGCAAGCAATTACTGAAAACTGCAAATAGACAATTTCTCAAAAGTTTATTATTCTCAGAATTGCTCTGGAAATATAGTGAAACTACCAGTAAATATACAATTATAAGTGAAAAGGGAGAAAGAATATACATTGTTATTTTAAATGTTAAATAATAAAAATGTTGTTACCTTTCTTAGCCTAAAATGTCCCCAGTTATCTTTGTGACTTCCTTGAAAGCGTCCTGGTGTTGAACCAATAAGGTAAACACTAAAATTAATAATAAAAAAAAACAGAATGCAAGTTATACTTTGTAACCTAAAACTCATAGAATGCACATGAAAACTAATATAATCACAAAGTGTTCTAGGAGCCAATCCATTTTCGTGCCATGCCTCCTGAACAGTAGAAACTGATACTCTACAATTCATTTTCAGGCAAACCACTTAACAGTTGGACACCTGTAAGGTGTGAGTTACTAGGCAAAGAAATGTGAATCTAAGAGCACCCCAATGAGACTCTAAGGTTCATTCCCACCTTGATGCCCACTAACCACAATACGCACAGAGTGATCAAATCTGCTCTCATCCCCTCATCTGCTCATGAGACACAGCTAAATACCACTCCACCACTCCCCAACGTCATTGCCTTCCAGTCTGGTAAGGCTGGAACCCACACTTTGAGGCCTACCAGACTGGTAAGGGGACACATACTTGGTTTCGGAGAGGTCGTGTTCCTGGATGGTATCTATCCACTCCTGGAGAGAAGGAGCATTATATGCCATCAAGTAACTGATGAGATCAGCTTTAAAGTGGGTTTTTGATTCTCCAGATTTGTAGTTTTCCTGGTCAATTCGTGGGAACAAGGGGCTCAACCATATTCTGGAATGGAAAAAAAAAATTACCTTTAACATTATGTGAGAGTTGAATTCTTCACGTGGTGACAGAGTGATTCTCAGGCAATGGGAAACAGATCTGATCAAACTGTTCCAATGATTTTCCATCATAGAGTTAATTTTTGAATGCTTTCTCTTTATGAATTTAAAATCAGGTCTATATCATGTCTACATCAGTGTAGTTTTTCAACCAAATGGCAGATAAGAATCAAAGACTATCTATACCGAAAAAAAATGTGAAAGTCTATTTTCAATAAACAAACTCATTTTATAATGTATATCATAAAGTAGTTTGAGATTTTCATATCCTATACTTTCTGGTATTTGGAGTATTTAACACATTTAATATTACATTAACATTAACCTAAGAGCTCTAAGCATTTAATGCAGTGATAAAACATTACAGACATCTCTCATCTTACCAACTCTTTTTCCCCAAAGAAAAAAGGCTTATTTGCTCAAACTTCTGTAACATGCACACAAATGGGAAAGACTCATACCTAAACCCAATAGATATAATGCAGTATGACACAGATAGATTGCAATACAGTATGGCTTCAAGCCTCTGATATGAGGGGTTCTTCTATGGCATAACCAGATTAAGAGTCTTGCCTCAAAGGGCTATTGCAAGGAGCCGCAGGAGGCAATGGATGAGGCATTGTGTCAGACACCGAATGTATTTTCCATCACTGCCTTTTACTTCTGCAGTTTTACCCACCAAACCAAAAGAGAAAAACTGCCCAATTCCTCTTTTACTGTGCTGCTCTCAAAGGAAGCTAGTAAGCTAGAGGCTATCGGGATGCGAGGCAGAGTGAATGAGGACTCCCAGATCTATGTCTGAACTGTAATGCCTTCCCAGCAGGGTGGCGTTTCTTTCACTCTCTGCTCACCTTGGGGAGAGCCCTAGCGTGGGCGCTGGCTACGGCTGGAGCCCAGGCCCCGGATCATAGCTGCTTCTGTCTCTGTCATTTCAGGTAGGCCCTGTGACCTCTCTGGCCTCTACCTACGTGTGCAAAGCGACCAGCTGGGCTACATAGATATCTCTTTGTAGCCCAAGGGTGAGAGTTTCACTCACAGGCATATTCTAGATGAGGACCATGACAGGAAATAACTTTCTAAACTAGGACACTGATGTATGAGGCATTTTTAATGCTTTGCAAAGCAAGATGAGAACACTATAGAAGGAAGGACAAGTTATTTGAAAAGCCATTTATCATTCTATGTATATCTATGTGTGCTTGAGTGTATGTATGTGCACCACATACATGCAGGTACCCAGGGAGGCCAGAAGAGGGCATTGGTTTCCTTGGAATTGGAGTTACAGGTGGCTGGGAGCCACGTGATATGGACGATGGGAACTAAACCTGGATGATGGGCACTAAACCCAGGTCCTCTACAAGAGCAGCAAGTCTAACAACCTGAAGAGTGAGAACTGAACAGGCAGACACGCAACAGTTGAGGACAGCTGAGCAGCTGACAGCATTGCAGAACCAGCAGGAGCAAGGCAGACCATTAACAAAGGAAGACGATGCAGCAAAGTGCGAGCTAACAGGGTCCTGCACCAAGACAGAGACTGTACAGAGGGAGGCTTCATACCCTTCTTTCTTTCAGTTTGAACCATATGAAGCTACACTTGAGCCAATGCTTTTCAAAATTTTAATAAAGGAAAAATGTACCACCCAAACCCCTAGTCTTCATTTTCTCCCTCATAGCAAACACCCAAGAAACCTCGGGAGCAGTGTTGACCACAAGCTCAAGTCCACAGCTTCACAATGAGCTAGAAGCCCTGGTGGAGTTCCTGGAGCTGCCCAAGACTGGAGCTACCTTAATAAACTTGTTATAATTCATTAATTATTCTTTTCCTGAGAACAAGCTAGTCTAAATCTCACTTCTTTTTCTCATGGCACGTGTCAGTCCCCAGGCCTAGTCGGACAACTCAGGGAGACCTGGTTAGAAACTCCTGGGGCAGCCAAGGCAGTGGACTAAGAACTCAACTCTGAAATGGTGCTGCACAGACACCCACATATTATCTGACAGAGAAAACTGCTAGCCAGCTCCCTTCCCCTAGTGAGGCAGATGTTAGAAATGGCTTTAATGACAGAAAGGGAATTAAAGCTATTCACCATGGAGGAAAGAAAGAGCTGAACTTGATTTGAATGCACCCCTAAAAATCCTTCTTAAAAACAAACGCTTGGGCTAGGGAAACGGTTTGGTGGGTGAGGTGCTTGCTGTACAGGTAGGAGGACCCACCTTTAAATCCCAGAACCCAGAGAGCTGGAAGCATTTCAGAGTGCCTGAAATCCCAGTGCTCCTACAGCAAGATGGGAGGCAGAGACAAGAAAACCCTCAGAAGCTCCAGGCCAGCTAGACCGGCAAACTGCAGTGGTGAAGAACAGAGGAGATGCGCCTCAAGGAAGAAGGTGAGGACCAAGACCTGAGGTTGTCCTCTAACTCCACATGTGGCCCATGGCACTAGCATGACTGAGTACAAACAAGCACATACATCATATACACACATACCTTAACACACATCTAAACATACAAAGCAAACCCCTCCTTTTATAAAGGGACTAAGAACTAGATCAAGAACTAGATCCAGCCATCTACACACCAAGAGCAAAGAGTGATACACAAAAAGAATAGAAAACCTTTCAAATTCACCCCATCTTGGAGTCTCAAAGTCATATTAATATACTAGACTCTAAAAAGACACGTTTCAGTTTATTTTAGAAGTAGTCATGGGATTTTTTTTTTTTTTTTTTAATATTACTATTACCCCTGCTCACCCCAAGTTTTCCTCTGACACCTATTTGGAAGTGGCAGGCAAGAGTCCAGGAGGGTCCAAGGGTGAGCAGAAATCAAACATGCTATCGCTAAGTACTACTGGGAAAAGAATGGGGTCAGGGCTTGTTCGGTAACCTTTCCTGCCTCAGGTGTTTGTACACATTGTTCCTGCAACACTGTAGGATGTGTGTATGCATGATTTATTTCTTTCAAAACTGAGACTACTTGAGGAGTGGGAAGGAGGCTTCGGGGGTAAAGCATTTGCTGTGCAAGCAGAAGGACCTAGTTTGAATCCCAAGAATCCGTATCTATAATTCCTATGCTTATGTGATGAGATGAGAGCTGGAGACAAGAGACTCTCTGGAAGCTTGTGGGCCACCTGGCCTGATGTATACAGTGGTGACAAACCAGAGACCCATCTCCATCTCCAACAAGGTGGAAAGTGAAGACCCACACTCAAGAGTGTCCTCTGAGTTCCACATGCCAGCAGTGGCACATGTGTGCCAACACTCTCAAACACGAACATAAACATGTACACACACACACACACACACACACACACACACACACAGAGCGGTTAAGGAAAAAACACATTTGCATGTAAGTATTTGTGTGGTTTATGTGTGCACCAAGGATAGTTACAGATGATTATGTACCAAAGTGTTAACACTGGCCACCTCAAGAGAGTGCAACGGAGGCCGGGGAGTGTTAAAGAACACTGTGAGGATGGAAGTGTCCAGGGGTAGAGTATGTGTGTGCACTGATAAAGAAAATGTGGTACCACTCTATTTCTAGCATTTCACTTTTCTAAGTGTATGTATTATATTATTTGTACAAGTAGAAAAACAGGAAAAAAAAGAAAAAGAAAAGTGAGTCTTCTGACTTTCGACCTTTCTCAAACAAACGACCGCCATGAAGAGCCCTACGAACCCTTGGGTTTTCTGGTGCCAGTCTTCCCGGATGAGGTTGGAGGTGTGTATGACCACACGGAGGCCTTCTTCATAGAGCAAGAGCATCATTTTCCTTCAGAAAGAGGAAGGAAAACATAAGTGTGATTTAGGTTTCCTAACGTTGATACAGTAAACAGCTAGAGGAAGGCTTCAGCTCTTACCCAGTATCACCTAATTTTCCCTTCCCCTTCCCTTCCCTTTCCTTTTTGTCTTTTTGAAGCAGGTCTCCCTGTAGCCCCAGCTGTCCTGGAACTCACTATGTAGACCAGGCTGGTCTTGAACTCACAAAGATCTGCCTGCCTCTGCCTCTCAAGTGCTGGGACTACAGGTGTGTGTGCCACCACACCCAGCTTCTTCTTTTTTTTTTTTTTTTTGAGACAGGATCTCCCTGTAGCCCCAGCTGGCCCTGGAATCCACTATGTAGTACAGCCTGGACTCAATCTCACAGAGATCTGCCTGCCTCTGCCTCCTGAGTGCTGGGATTAAAGATGTGCACCACCATACCCAGCTCATTCCCCAAATTTTTTAACAGCTATAAACTTTAACAGCTATAAACAGCACATTGCCATTTTGAAAATCTGAAATATTATAAAAACCCTCCTTCCCCAAAGGCTTAGAATATCTGTGGGTAATGAACTTTCAACTTATTCTGTGTACAGTGTACTCAGGCACCCCTCTTGTCTGGCCCCTTACTATCTGTTGGCTATCATCTTAATGAAGGACCACAGGGACATTCCTATGCCATGTTTTGCAAGGTAGGAACACAATCTCTTGCTGTGTCACAGGCTAGCATGTTTCAAACAACTGAAGTAGAATAAATCAGATTATCCTTCATATGCTTACTTGAAGTATCAGCTGAGAAAGTTTCAGCACATACATATACACATGTGCAGACACAGAAACACGACACACATTTCTTACTGTTGGTTGTAACCTAAAGTTTGCAAGATGTCCCATTCTGATCAGACTGACATTCTGTGTTTTGAGGTGTGACACACCAGTACGTATCTGGGCTGGAAGTAAGTCTTTCCTTTTCTCCTCTATGAATTCCAATCAGACCTAGCTGAGCCCTCTCTTTCCACAGGGATCTTCCCTGGGCTTCTCACATCACTAAGCCTTGTTTTCGCAACTCTATTTCCAGTGAGAGAGGAAAGAAGACACAAACGTGGGCCTTCAACGTTAACTCTGAAGACCCCAGTCTGTCATTAGAAGCCACAGAATCTTTGCTAGGCCATTCAGTATCCCTGAATCCCCTCTTTCCACATGGATCTTGAAGGATCAACCCCATCTTTGGACTAATGAAAATGAAATCAAAGCACACATTGTAAGGGCCAAACACTCAGGCACCCATTCCCATGCTGCACTTGGTGCCCCAATTTATTTTGTAACTTTCTGATTGTTTTCCAATTATTCCAGAGCTTTAAATTTCCTTTCCAGAACTAGACTGTCATTTCTCAAGGCTGTAACTTCTTTCTTGACTTATTTTATCATGTGTGCTGAGGCCCCAGTGCTACTTAGTACTCACTGATGAAACTCGGTTGACACGTGTGAAAACAATGAGTCTTTGCTTTTCTCCCAGTAAACTGCCCCATGAATACAAGCCAGGCAGGAGGAGGTTAGCATAGAAAGATAAGGGAAAAAATACAGGAACAGAACAGAGAGACAGTTAGCTCTTGCCAACATGAAAAATTAACCCAAGCTGGCAAGTAGTAAATTAATGCAAGGCTGGATAAATGACAGCACTGAGCCATCTTTTCTGCAGTTACAAAATGCGGTCCCTGAAATCTGGGCAAATTGACACACACAGTTGCCACATTAGCAGCTGATTATAATTAAGGATAAGCCAGCTAGGGATTCATGATAGAAGCTTTATAAATATTTCCATTAATCAAGGCATCAATTATGAGGAAATCATGCATCGATGTCACTGAATCCTATCAAATAGAATTATGAATTAATTTACAGGGAGTCATATTAATCTTTTCATAGACAACACTGTGTGTGTTAATAAGGTCACAATTAAAAATAGATAGTTGAAGTCAAGGAACAGAGTGTCCCCCCCAAGAAGGTGACCTGCAGTTCTGTGTCCCTAAGCAGTGGTGGTGGCCAAGGGTCATTTCCTAAACATGAAGATGGGCTGTGAAGTGGGAAGGCAATGCATCAAGTACCACCATGCCAGGCTCTGTTCTGGTCTAGCATGTGTCACCATGCTAAATCCTGGAGAAAAACTAAAAAGGGAGATGTTATTCTCATTTTACAACTGCAGAATCTGTGGTTAGAAAAGAGTAGGTTATTATCCAGGTCATCAAATGAGCCTGTGGAAGAGCTGGCTGGGATCCTCACTATGCATGCCTTTGACAGGGTTAGAAGTGGTGATGGGACATGACCTGATGCTACTGGGGGAGGAGTGTGAGACGTGGTCTTGGTGAAAAAGAGGAATAGCAGGAGACAGCTGTGCCTGGCTCCTGTTTGGATGAGAACACTGTCCATTCAGCTTCTTTGGCTGTCTTTCTCCTTAGCAATTCTTAGGGCCATCAAAGGTAAACTGTGCCCAGCTTTGAGGAAAACCAAAGAGCTTTCCCAGTTTCAAGCACTGTGCAATACACCCCGAGACTGCACTGCACTCTGCAGACACTGGGTAGAATAGATCTAGCACCTAACCAACGATGAGCTCTGATGACAGGGCGGAACCCTGGCTATTTCTATGAGCTCCACACACAGTGCCTGGTCGATGCTGCTTGCTCAGGCATGTCATCCCAGAGACCTCCGTACAGTCACTGTTGTTAGCTCCAGGTTGGAAGTAGTTTAGGCCCTATCACCATGAGCTAGAGTCAGTTTAGGCCCTATCACTATGAGCTGGAAGGATTTTCTCCTTTTTTGACTTACATGTATGCTTTGTGCTCTTACAAAACATGAAAAGTTGCAAGGATAAGAATTACACCCTTCAGGGGCTAGAGCAATGGTTCAGCAGTTAAGAGCACTGTGCTCTTAGAGAGGACCCAGGTTCAATCCCCAGCACCTACATGGCAGCTAATAGCCATCTTTAAATCCTGTTCCAGGAGATCCAACTCTCTCTTCTGACCTCTATGGGCACTGCATGACACAGGTGCACTTGCAGACAATACACTCATACACTTAAAATAGTATTTTTAAAAAATTACACCCTTCAGAGCTGCGATTTGAGAATATTATAGGAAGTTAATGAATATTTGAGAGGGGGGATGTGAGACAGGGGGTCTCATGTAGACTGGTCTTGAACTCCTAATCCTCCTCTTGCTTCAGTCTCCCAAAAGTTGGGATTAAGGCATGTGCTACCATGCCTGGATTGAGGAATAATTCTTAAAATAATAAGCAACCAAAATTTCCAAACATGAGCGCAATCTTTTACAAGATACTAGCATTTCAGCAAAATGTAAACTATGGATACTATCTAGTAGGGAAAGGTTCTACTACAGTACCTTCTCTGAATTGAGAACTATTAGGATTAACTCACAGAATGTACACATGTGACCTGGTGTGAGGAACAGGGTCAGGGCAAAGGAAATCATGAAGTCAACTACAGCAGTGAGCAAACAAGAACGAATTAAAAACCAAAGTTAAAAGAATGGCTTCCTTCCTGTTTCCATCCTTAGTCAAAGAAGAATCCACTTATTTACTCTGGGTATCAGTTTTCTGGTCTATGATATTAAAGGGACCAAATAATTTTGTCATAATGAAACAAAGGATAGGCCCCACATGCTCAGTGAAGCATCTTGGTGCCAGGTTCTGAGCAGGCCTTTTGTGCCCCTAGGTTCCTCAGTATAACTCACTATTGACAGTGCTGGCTCTCCCGCTCTCTGCTCTCACGAAGTACAGAGAGGCTTGCCACTTATAAAGCACACAGTGCAGAGCACATGCTCAGCACAGGAACCTGGCACTGGTGGCCAAGCAAATCATGCTAGAGATCAAATTGTGGCTAGGTTGGCTGAAGACAGACTAGAATCCATAACACATCTATCCTGGGGTTTCAGCTAAGCATGGGAGACAAGGGCTTCCTGTTTGGTGCTTTGCATTATTCCCAAGCTGCCTCCGTTAATGGCACTCTGTTTTCTGCACTGAAATTAGCATCCTAGGAGCTCAGGGATAGAAAAAGAATTATTTAAAGCATGAGTCAGGTGCTTGAGTTCACTCTCAGTCCTTAAACTCTATCCCCTGTTGGACAAAAGCTACTAATTAGGAGTGGTCTGTAGAGCTAGCTACATCCGCTCAGAGCATTAAAACAGGTGACAGGACGGCCCCTTCCTTCCTGGAGGGGCTCAACTACTCCCACTTGAGTGGGTCCCTTTTCACAACAGGTTAGTGAAAATACTGTTTCAAGCACAGGAAGAAAAGGTAACCACAATGCTTTCATTTCAGGTCATCACACCAGCAGGTCATGGCCAATCTCAAGGCTAACATTCCCTTCTCGGAGATTCCCTTCTGCCCTAGGAACAGCAAGCCACACATCTCCACTGCTGGTCGAAGAAAGAGGAGGCTCTGTCATAGTCTTCTGACAAATCCTTTCCAGAAAAAATGTGATTATAAAAAATTAAAAGAGAGACAACCATGTATTTTTGTCTTCTTTCACTTGTAAAACCAAATTACTCAGTAAAAGGACTCAGTCAGTCTCCTGTAAAACTAAGTTAAGAAAAATGGAGCAAGTTGATCAATTGGTACAATGTGTCAAAAAGGAAGGAACAGAACAGTCTTTCCTGACAACGACCTGCATCACAGAGAAAAGATTCTAGGGGTCGATTTGAGCTCAAGCTGGCCTCTCAAATTGGCAACTTCTAGTGAAACTAGTTTTCCTCTGATGCAATATGGAGGTGACCAACAGGCTATTCAATAGAAGTCATTCCTGCCTAAATTGCAGAACTTTTTAAAAGTAGGGGAAGTCACAGGCATGTGACTGCACACATATAATCACTATGAGCACTGCTATTAGGACTGCACACTTGAAATCTAGTGCCTCCAGGCTGGGCACAACAGATATTCTGAGCCAAAGGCAGGGCCCTCAGAGGCACGCACCCCACTGACTGTGGAACTGCACTACCAGCTTTTGAAGCTCCTAGAAAACAACTCCACTGATCCTCTATTGACAGACAGTGTCCTTTTGACTGGTGAAAATCCTATCTTCCCCATTTCATAAAAGTTGCTTACGTGTGATGTGTTCCAAATGCGATGTCCAACTTTGCCTAGGACAGAAAAGAAAGCATTTAATTGAAAAAAGTCTCATTTAACACTTAATATCCCTGTCTGCTGGAAATTATATTGGGAAAGGATCAAGCCAACTTAAAAAACAAACAAAATAAAACAAAAAAAACCCAAACTGTTTTACTGCCCTCTGTTGGACAAATACATACAAGACAGCTTTCATTATAGCACCCACTAAGGAACATTAAACACACACACACACACACACACACACACGCACGCACGCACGCACGCACGCACGCACGCACGCACGCGCACACACACACTTGTTATCCAGCATGATTCAATATACACTGCAATCTTAATTATAGTAATTATGAGTTAGAAGTCTAATTTCTTTAGTTGCCAAAAAAAAAAACACCAAAAACCCTAATAAAATTAATTCATTCTAAGCAAAGTTTTAAAATTATACATTTGGCTTTCTATAGAAGAAACTAATATAAACTAAGTTTTAAGAATATATTTTTAAAGAAAACACTGAATGTCGTTGCAGATAAAAACAAAACGTTAAATTCAAACAGAGTTTCTTACAAAACAGCAAAAACTGAAGGAAAAAAAAAGAAATCAATTTTTGTGTTTGAGAATGACATCTTTGTAAGTAGAAAAGTAAAACATGTATCTAACATCTAGCACAAGACCTTGGTCAAGAATATGGCAAAGAGCACAGATCACAAATAAACAACTTTTGAAACAGCTGAGTGATGAGCTTAGGAATACGGTACCTGGGCTCAAACCTTGCCTCACAATTTTGCCTGACTTTGGAAAAAGTTTATGTTTCTAAGCCTCAGCTCCCACCAGTTTAAAATAGAGAATTGTTACGAGATTTGGTACTGTCAGTAGTAGATGAGAAAAAATATATAAAACGCTTAGGAAAGAGTTTTACTTACTGTAAGTACTACAGAAATATGAACAATCACTATAGGTTTCCCCAGCATGTCTCCCCCGTCATGATGGAAGGGCAGAGCTAGATGGGCAGGTGACATACCCCTACATGCAGTATTTGGGGATGCATTCAGATCAACATGCATTTGTGCTCTAAGGGCACAGAAGAAAGCTAACTGTAATTCATGCTTTAAAGTTACAAACTAGAAGAATGCCACTTTGTAACCTTCTTAACTGAAATGAAGCAGTGGTTAATGGAACTGGCTTTTGAGTTTTGTTTTGCTACAAGTTATATGCTTTCAGGCAAGTCTAAGCACGAAAACAAGGATGAAAAAAACTTCCACAGACAATATTCAATGGTGCTTCTTTGGCTAATGCACTGAATCTCTTAAATTCTATAATGAATGGCATTAGCAATTCACTTTAAACATGAACAAATTAGATTTAAGCAAATGGGCTTAAATGACAAGACAGAATGAGGACAGTGTTATGGAATGAAGCTTTGTGCCCCCATTCATATATAGAAGCCTAAACCCCCAGTGTGTCAGTGCTTTATGGTAGTGAAGTTCAGTGAAGTTGTGGGAAAGTTGAGGGGGGATCCAAAATAATTAGCGTCCTCATAAGAGATACCAGAACACTAGCGCAGCCCCTGCGTCCTCTGCCTTGTAAGGCCACCGTGAGAACACACTCATCTACAAGCCAGGAAGAGCACCCTTACCTTAGAAATGAATGTCTGCTGCTTAAGCTGCCCAGTCCGAAAGAAAAAGAAAATTTATCCAGGCACTCTGTTATAGTAGCCCGAACAGCTTAGCACACACAGGGACAGGGCTGGGCAGAACCTAGGCAATCTGAGCCCTGGCCACCATCGTAAGGCCTCAATTTAGTCTCAGGCTTCAAACGTGCACCCATTGATTGGCTCCTTGATGATTACCTGAAACATTCAGGAATTCATCTTACAGACAAGGCATTTCAGTAGGTCAAGATGGGGCCACAAACCTGCATCTCCCACTAGAGTTGAGTGCTTCGGTGTGGTTCTGTGCAAAGGTTTGAGAGCAGCGTGTCCTTACGCCCTCTAGTGACCATTCTGTTCTCAGAAGCAGGGCTCTCCTAAACCTAGTGTTGGGTAGCTGGAATTGAGGACTATTTAATCACTGCCATGAATCCTGTATCAGTTTACTTTCTGCCTACTCTTAGTAGGATGGGAGCTGACCTCTTCTGTTGGTGGAAATCAGATCAAAGTAATGGAATTTTAGGCAACTGCTAAACAAAGACATATGGCTGATCTACGTGATAAGATGAATCACAAATACCTTGGATGGAGAAGGGTTGTTTTTGTGATGCTGATGATGGAACCCAGGGTCTTGTGCTTATCAGGCAAGCACTACCACTGAGCTACATCCACAGCCCAGAAGGCATGATTTGAAGCCACAATTATATAAAGGGCAATGGACTAAATCAGGAAAAAAGCAGTGAGGTATGTTAGAAACTCAGATTGTTTTCAAAACAAACACAGATACCATTTATGGTTGGAAGAAGAGTAGTAAAATATGAGTTGAACTATCATTTTATGTGAGGAAAACGAGACACCAGAAGGAAAATGGCAAAGAAAAGGTAGCATATCTCTACCCTAAGAACAGAAATCTTTGTGTGCATGTGATGTATGCACACCCGTGCATGTGCATAGAGGCCAGAGGACAACATAGGGTGTCCTGCTCTATCACCCCCTGCCTTATTCTCTTGAGACAGGGTCTCTCACTGAACCTAGAGCTAGGCTGACAGCCAGAAAGCCCCAGAGATCCTCCTGTCTCGGTCCCTCACAGTGTGGGTTACAGGTATTATGCTGGACTTCTTAGGTAGGTGCTGGGATTTAACTTCAGGTCATCATACTTGTGCCGAAAGTGCTCTCACCTCATGAGCCATCTCTCCAGCCCAAGAACAGAAATCCTAGGCCTACTTTACTATGGGATGACAAGGAAAGAATATTAGTTACTTCTCTGTTGCTGTGATTAAAACACTGTAACCAAGGCAACTTATAGAAGGAAGAGTTTATTTGAGCTTACAGTTCTGGGGGTAAGGGTCCATAATGGCAGAAGAAGCGTGGCGGTAGGAGGTGGCCAGAGCAGAAAACCGAACGATCACATCTTCAAGCAGGCACAGAAAGCAGAGCCTGGAAATCTGGCATGGGTGAAGAACTCTCTAAGCCCACCCCCAGTGATGTGTACTTTCAACTAGCCTGTACCTTCTAAAATCTCCCAAAACAGTGCCACCAACTGGGGACTAAATGTCCAAATACTTGGAGTCCATGGGGGACATTCTTATTCAAACTACCACAGAGAGAAAGCTCTAACTGTATCTTTTACCATGGTTCCTCATGAATGGACTGAAGTTCCACTGACAAGAAAAGATGAGTGTTTTACCTGCTATTTTATAAGTGCCATTTCTACAGGAAGGAAATTAAAAAAAAAAATCCCTTGAATTCCTTTTCTTCTCACTTTACCTGTTTCTTGCTCAAAATGACACATGGAATAAAGAGATCTGTTTGGACATGGAGAATAAAGCAACCGGTTGTAACAAAAGTTAAACATTCATCAGTCACACTGTAGGCTGACTACAAAGTTGAAGGACAAAAACCATGAACACATAGAGAATTGGACAATAGCTTCTGTTTTCTTTTCTTCTACTTTACTTTGGTTCTAGCAGAGCAGGCAGAAACACCTAGTATGAGATCATTCAATACCAGTTCACTGGGATGGGATCACATGCCATATACAATTCCCTGTTAGTTTCCTAACAGGCTTTGACTCTGGGCTTTTCCATCTCCCTGGCTGATATGAAAAAGAACTGAGGACAACGGTTAAAAGGCCAGTGGTGGTTTACACAAGTCAGAGAAGGTAGCACAGAAGCAGAGTTATCAGCTACACTGGTAGAAAGAGATCTGTTTGTGGCCACTGAACTACATCTGGAAGACCTGTTCCATGCTGAAAGCTGGGTTCCAAGAAGCACAAGACAAACTAGACATAACCAGAGTACTAGCTGGCTGGCGCAAAGAGGGATCCATCCACCCTGAGCACAACTGATGGAGAATGCTTAGCTCCAAGAGACACCAAGGGAAACAGGACAAATCATCTCCAATACAGGAATCTGAGGATGCAAGGAAGAGATGAACTGTTCCATGTGGTTTCAGCAGGCAGGAAATCAGGACCCATGTGTGGAAGTCACAAGGAGGGAGACTTCAGGTCAAAGGAAAGGGAAAAACCTTTCTAACTAGGAGTGTTCCTACTAACGGACTGAGTTACTTCAGTGTTGAAGCCATGGTAAGACAAGTATTGCTGGTAAATTCCGCTGCAGGTGGGAGGATGGACTCAAGGGTAAAATTCCTACCAACTCTCAGACTGAGTACCAGGTCAAATGTAGAGGCAGCTTACCTGGCAGAGGGAAATGTTTGCATAGGGCTTTGCCTGGGCATGTAGGTGAGCTTTGGCTTCTCGCTTGTCGCCATGCACGAGCAGGATGGGCTTCTTTCTGAAAAAGACCAGATATGTTTATAATGCGTGCAAGTGGGCCTCCTGCCTCCTTGAGGAATGCAAGCCTCCTAAGTCCCTGCTGTTTGTTTCTAGTCTTTGTGGCTAACATCCTGTGGCCATCAGTCAGCACTCATTAACCAGTTCTCTTTGTGAGGGGGCCACAAAGACCAAGGCTGAAGTCTGCTATGACACAGGGGAGTGGTAACTCTATGCTTTAAAAAAAGAAATCTTTTAATTTATGTGTATGAATGTACAGCCTACAGGTATATAAGTACACCCATGTGCAATACCCGTGGAAGTCAGAAGAGGGCGTTGGATCCCCTGGAACTAGAGTTACAGATGCTTGTTTACTGCCATGTGGGTGCTGGGACTCGAACCTGGGTCTGCTGGAAAGGCAGCCAGTGCCCTTCTTAACCGCTGAGCCATCTCTCCAGCCCTGCTACACTTAATTTTAGTATCCAGTAGACTGAAGCTGGTGAGATGGCTCAGTGGGTAAAGGCACTTGCTGCCAACACTGCCCACCTGAGTTTGAGCCCCAGAACTTATAGAGTGAAAAGAGAAAACTGACTCCTGAAAGTTTGTCTTCTGATCTCTACATGCATGCTGTGGCACATGTGTGCAATGGCACACACACACACCGCTTCACACATACATAAAACAAATGAATGTAAAAAATTTTTTAATTGAATTTTTGTGTATTTCATACAGAACATCTCAATCTTAATCATCTTTATACCCCCTTCCCCACTGGCAGCCTCCAATAGCACCCCCCCCCAACTGGAATCCATACATTCTGTCAAAATAAATGTAAAAATTTGTTTTAAAAAGATAGGCAATTATTGTTGTACAGTATGACGCTTCCTTTCTCCTTTATGTTGACAATGGTTTTATCTCACGCTGCACTGTTTACCAAACTCCTATTATGCACTCTATGTATGTGTAGATCCAGGATATAAAAGCAAACAGGTACAGACTTGCTTACAGGCAGTCAGATTTCAATGATGCAGAGTCCCAAGTACACTGCAAATTTTCAAATTCTAAAGACTATATAATGCCACTCTTCAGGGCTGGGGAGTGGTTAATAATACTTGTTCTTCCAGAGGACTCAAGTTTGATTCCCAGCACCTACATGATAGCTAACAACCATCTGAAACTCCAGTTCTAGGGGATCTGATGCCCTCTTCTGGTCTTTGTGGGCATTGCATGCACATAAAAATAAATTAAAATATTAAAACCACTGTTCAGGGGCTAGAGAGATGGTTCAGCAGTTAAGAGCACTGACTGCTCTTGCAGAAGACCCAGATTTGAATCCCAGCACCCGCATGGCAGCTAACAACTGTCTGTAACTCCAGTTCCAGGGGAATCTGATGCTCTCTTCTGACCTCTGGGGCACTGCACAACTTGGCTGCACTTACATACATGTAGGCAATACACTCATACACATACAAAAATAATAATTTTTTTTAAACACAGCACTCTTCAGGAACAGGTTAAAAAGGCCTTTTCTGTTTATTTGTTGTGAGACATGGTCTTGGTACATAGTCTAGGCTGGCCTTGAATTCCATCTGTAGCCCAAGTGTGTCTCAAACTCTGTAATCTTCCTGCAATTGCATCTCCAGCGCTGGAATACCAGCCACCATACCTGGCTTTAAAAAGGCTTTTAAGGGATCTTTCATCTTCTCCAGCTAATTCAAAGCAAGCTAATCCTTAGAAATCAATGTATCTTTACAAGCTCTCTCCAAACAGGAAAAATTTCATTTTTCTCCAACAAGTAATGAAGCAAGATCAACAACTGCAGCTACTTCCTCAGTCGTTAGTCACACTGCAGAATGCATGAGAGGCAGCATTCAATGGGAAGGCATCACAGACATGCACTTTCAGAATTAACGTCTGTCTACCTCACCCATTAGCTTTGCTCTAACAGCGCGGGTGAGCAAACCTACGAAGCACACATTCCTACATGTTCCCTATTTAGAAAACCCTTACAACCAGAACAGCACAGAGAAAAATGTAAGAAATGTGTACGTTCTCAGGTCACAGGCCACTCAGCTCTAAGGCCAGAAGTTGAAGTCTTCCTTAATCCCTTCAGGTGACCGCTCTGTGGACTGCCACAGAAGGGCAAGGTGAACAGGGAGGCACAGATATTTACCACAGGGAATTCTCTACATACAAATTCTAGACCTTTCTTAAGCTTGCCATTTAGGCCATTCTTCAGTCCTATCCTGTCTTCACAATTTTCCCAAGATGTATGTGCTAATAGGGTAGAGACAGAGGGGTCTCTACTTTGACTTTGCTAGAGCTGCTGCAACAAAGTGTCACAAACTGAGTGGCTTACACCACATAAAGCTGGGGGGTCCTACAGTTCCAGAAGCAGGATGTCCGAGATCTGGTGCCAGCAACGCTGGCTCTTTCTGAAGACTGGGGGAGATCCTGGGCCTTACTTGGGGCTGCACGGGGCCACGGGCATTCCTTGCAAGCAGATGGCATTCTCCTATGTCTTTACATAGTCTGCTCTGTCTGTGTCCAATCTCTCCTTTTATAAGGACACCACCCATGCTGGGTTAGTGGCTTCCTAGTGACCTTATCTGAACTTGAGTGATATTTCTATAAGGACTCATCTATAAATACAGTCACATTCTGAGGTACTAAGGCTTTGACTTCTAACATGTCAATTCAATCCACAAGAGGCACTAAAGGAGTGACAATGCATGCTGTCATCACTGCAGGGGGGTGACATCTAACTCTGAGGTGCTTGAGAAGGAAAGGCAGGATGAGCGGCACCGTTATAACCCAGGGTCACATTGCCAAGAGGCGCTGAGGCTGGGGCACACTGCTTCCGCAGACCCAGTCTCTTTTCCTATCAAAACCCTGATTTCATGTAGGACAAGATGAGCTCAGCTAGAAGACCATATCCCCACCCTCCCTTAGAGCTGGTCAGTGTCATGTTACTGAGCTCTGATCCATAAAATAGCAATAGAAACAGGTGCAGGTGGAACCAGTCAGACAGCTGCTCAGAGTGGCATGGGTGGGATATGAATAATGACAAAGGTTTCCACCATGATGCCTTAAATACACCAAGGACTTAAAAGAACTTGACATCCACTTTTTTTTCTTGTGTGCCTCCCTCTATCCTACTTACTGTTATGAGATTATGGCACAGACCTGTGCATACAGACAGCTGCATGTCACCATGCCACATCATTTATTTGGTCTCTGCTGCCTAACATGAGGCTGAAGAGTAGCCAATGGTAGCAATGAAGGTCCACCAGTTCTCAGCTTGTGCAAGGGAAGGTAATCGTCCTTTTCTTGTCTCCAGAACCAGAGGAAGAGTCTTTTAGGGGTTGGGGAATGGCACAAAGAGATCCTAAGAACGGCTTTGATGTGCTAAGCCAAATGTCATGTGCTAGCCATGCCTGGGACATGTACAGGTCTAGATAGCACATGGAGATTGACATTTCCTTCATATTAACACTGGCCATGAAGTCCTGTTACTTGTCTTGGAGTTGATCGCTATCTACTGTTGGACAGAACAAAGAGGAAAACGCTAAAATCTATAAAAAGAATATGTGCAATTAAATAGATTTTTAAAAAGCTATTCTGAAGCTGGGAAAGTAGCACAGATGGAAAAGAGCCTGCACTGCAAACATAAAAACTTGAGTTCTAGCCCCAGAATCCATGTGAAGAATGCTAGGTGTGGTGGTGTGTGCTTACAATTCCAGGACTGGGGAGGTAGAGACAGGCAGATCCCCAGGACCAGACCTGTAAAAGATCTTGTCTCAAAAAGAAAAGAAATGAGAAGGGGAGAGGGAGAGGGAGAGGGAGAGGGAGAGGGAGAGGGAGAGATGAGAAGAGGAGAGAGAAGAGAGATGAGAAGAGAATAGAAGAGAGAGAAAAGAGAGAAGAGAAGAGAGAGAAGAGAGAGAAGAGAGAGAAAAGAAGGAAGGGAGGAAAGAGTGAGTGGGTGGATGGTGCCTGGCAACAGTCAATACCATCTTCTGGCCTACACATACATGAACATGCACACACATGAACATGCACAAAAAAATGCTGTATACCAAAATAACTTAATGTTTTAGGTTTTCAATGATGTCCAAAGAAATACTAAAAAAGGTTGAACAGCTTGTCTGAGAATTGCAAATCCTGTATTTCAGAGCACTGGTGTCCAGTGTGCAGGTATCACAGAACTCACCTGAATTCTGGTGGATACTGCTTTACGAGCCAATCCACATCAAAGCAGTAGTTAAACTAGACAGGGAGAAAAGAAAAGTAAGTCACAGGTAGGTTCATAAGGAGAACTTGTAATTAAATTGAAAGAAATTCTAAAGTAATAATGTGCTACACAGTATTCTTTTTAAAAATATTTTACTATTTTAGCCTGGCGTGGTGGTGCACGCCTTTAATCCCAGCACTCGGGAAGCAGAGGCAGGCGGATCTCTGTGAGTTCAAGGCCAGCATGGTCTACATAGTGAGTTCCAGGACAGCTGGGGCTACAGGAAGACCCTGTCTCAAAAAGACCAAAAAAAAAAAAAAAAATTTTACTATTTTTATTTTATGTGTATGAGTGTATTGCTTGCATGTATGTAAGTACACTTGTGTCATGCAATGCTTGCGGAGGTCAGGAGATGGCATTGGATCCCCTGGAACTGGATTTACAGATGGTAGTTGCCATGTGGGTGCTGGAATTCGAACCCAGGTCCTCTGCAAGAGCAATCAGTGCTCTTAACTGCTGAGCCATCTCTCCAGCCCCGCTACACAGTGTTCTCAAACCCAGTTGTTATGCTGTAATACTTAAAAGTAATCCTAACTTTGAAGGATTTTCCTATCTTGAAGGAGCGCTTGGTTAAGGGAACCTGCATAAATGGAGCCAAATCTGACAAGATAGGTTCTAAGGACACTACTTCCATGTACTTTGGCAACATTTGTTTGTGAATAGAGTGTTACTATATTATTTCTAATAGCCCAGGTTTATAGTTTCCCCTAGGTGATTATAAGACAGATATTGGAGACAAAGATCCCAGAACTTTTAGGAAAAGGACATTTCCTTTCAGCATAACTTACCAGCTAGCTTGGCACACATACACTAGTTTATAATAAGCCCCTGTTGATCAAAAATTCCATAGTGGTCTTATCTATAGGGGACCTGCCAGTCTAGGGCTCAGGATCTCAGTCAGGTGAGAGAGAACCCACAGGTGTACCCCTCTTGGTTTCTACCTGGAGACCAGGACTCTCAGGACCACATCATACAAGAAGGAAATACCTTTGCTTGCTTCAGGAACAAGGCCCTTTTTCCTGACTATTCCTTAGCATCTGGACCATTATGTTGACTCATCAGCAACAAGGGACCAGCTCAGTGCAGCAGGAGTCAAGTCAATGAACATGCAGAAGTACCCATAATTCTTCTCACTCCTTTCTGGTTGGTACAGAGCATCTCGTATTTTCCTAAATCAAATCAACCTCGAGGAGCTCTTCACCACTCTACTCACCTCCTCCTCAGGGGCTGCACCAGCATTGAAGGAGACTAGAAATTTCTCCCAAGTATTTCAGGAGGGAAAATCCAAAGTGACTTCTTGGCTAGTCCTCTGGCCTGATCGAGAGTCAGGTGGTTTTCTGATAGGGACATCCATGTTCTATGCATGGGGGCCAAATGGCAGAATGTATTGTACACATATCCCACAGTATGGGCCAGCCTCTAGGAAGATGCCAACCTAGGAAACACTGTACAGAACCCATCTCCTGTCAAATTTTCTTATTGAGTTGCTTAATTGTCTGTTTTCACCTAAATTAAAAATGTCTTACCATAAACTCACCTGAGCTGAAGAAACAAGTGTCCCAAACAGAGGAGATAAAATATCTACAAAGACAAAACATAGATTCTCAGATAAAAATCCTCTAGTCAAAACCATAACAACTATCTTATTCAACAGTCACTGACAAAATTTGGCTCTTAAAATGGTCAACTGAAAAGGCACTACAGAGGTAGACTGTAGTATTTCGTAAAACCCATGAAAAGTTTTCCCTGCACTACTAAATGATATTTATTACATATTTCTAGACAAAATAGAATCTAAAACTGAAACCTAAAACTCAGTCCTGGCTAACTGGTCCATTTTGGACTATCAGTACCACATTCATGATGTCCATTCTTCTAGGATTTCTGAATTTTACTTCCTTCCGTATCATTCAAGTTCCCAACACCACTCCGCTTGAGCCTGCATCCCACAACTCCAGACTTCTGTCCTTAGTGCTCTTGGTCACCTCTGGGGATAGCCAATGTGGCTCCCCCTCAAGCCTGACTTTAGAGAGGTTAGAAAGGCCACTGCTCATGACACCATGGTTACCGCCAGCTTCCCCTGTACAGGACTTATCAAGGCTAGACACCATTCTTGGCCCTTTCCATGCCCTTTCTCCTCCTAGGGATTTTCTGAGGTAAGGTCTGTTATTCCTCTACTTTAGACGAGGAGAATCTCTGTAGGAGGCTATCCATGACCATATTGCTAAGAAGGGTCAGAGTTGGGGTTTGACCCAGGATGTCTAGCTCTTGGTTGTTCATATCTAGAGTTGCCTCTGAGGAGGAAGTGGGCTGGTTTACTAATTTGATAGTCCCTGAGCACTTTCTTCTGGACACTAAACTAGATGCTGTGGTATAAAGATTTTGAAAGAATAAAAACATACTAGTAGGGCGGTTCCTACCTTATCTGGAGATTAGCACAATTGAGATATTATTTCTTCCATCTGGCACCCATTGGCATCTCTACCTTTCTAAACTTTATCCATCTTCCAAGGACCACTGGAAGTTCCCTTTCCCCCACGAGATCTAAAGAACCTATAATTATGACCAGTGTCAGCATCCTATATTAAACAACATGGATTCAGACACAATGCCTGCATTCAAGTGTGGCTTTTCAATTTACCAGTTCTGATTGTGGAAGTTATTTAACTTTTCTAAAAAGCAGAGCTGTCATTCGTCCAAGAACATTTACAGTACCTCATTAGCCTGCTCTGAGAATTAAAATATATGCAAAATCTCTCATGTCATTTCCCCCTCCTTAAAGCTTGGTGCTTATAGCCACATTGTTATTATTTTATTACGTATAGCCAGCCTTTCAGACTTCTGTTTCCTATGCCAATCTCTCTCAAACAAGATAAAACCACTGACAACTATCTTATATTTCTTCAGAGTACCTACACAAGAGAGTCTCAAATTCTTGTAGAGCTGGGCTTTCTACATATGGCATTAAACACACCAACACACATCATATAGAAGAAACGCAGTGTACTCATATATTTGATATATAAAAACTGTGTTGAGGGTGAACATAATCTATTTCTTGAATATGAACCAGAGAAAAAGTTAATGTGATAGCATGCTTATTGTGTGTATCTGCCGTGTGAATGCACCGTGCTGGCCACTTCACCTATATGCTCCTGTTCTCCAGTCTAGTCCTGTGTTGACCACAGGGTAGATGAGAGGTGAAGGAGGGAACCTGTGCTTTGAGTTCACATATTCTGCTGCTCTGCCACGGAATGCAGAGAACCATCCAGAGACCATTTTCTCCCTCGTACTGGGGGCATCTTCAGTACTCTGTTTTGTTGCTTTGTCCTAGGAACCAAAACCAGGCTTTCAAGTAGATTCTCAAACCTGACTAGGCATCAGAATTCCCTGGAGGGTCTGTGAAAGCACAGTGGCAGGCCCTGGCCCCCAGGCTTTGATTTGATGAGTCTGAGATGGAAATGAGTACTGGTATTACTGAAGTACAAGAGACCAGGGACCAAACAGAACCACTGTTATGAAGCTTATGGCATTTAACAATGTTACTGGGTAAGTTTAATCTTTACCTTAAAAGCTAAACAGTTCTAAACACTATGTCACATGTAGTACTGGGGGCTGGGCTATAGGGCCTTGAGAAACACCCTGGCCTTCCCTGAGTAAACAATTTGCTGCCACAATCACTCACTCGCTTGTGGAAAACACTCCCCACCTCAAAAGCAGTAGGTAAGACCACAAGGTAGGGTTCCTGGAGGCCAATCTAGACTGCCCCCCTTTATTTACCAAGGGGAAACTGTTCAACAGCTGCTGGAAGCCCGGCTCTTACCCTTGATGTGGAGGGCTTTGGAATTGTACTTTGCCTTAATCCCTGAGACTCTAGTGAGGTAAAACTGGAAGGGGTTTCCTTTATCCAGCATGTCCCAGATGTCCTGGCCTTCCCCCGAAGTCTCATATTCCTCTTCTTGCCCTTGGGGCCTGTGGCTGGCGGGAGGACTCCGATCGGCAGCTCTCTGGGCAGTACTCATGCTGGGTAAGGAGACATCTTTTTTCTCTTGAGCCATGATGTCCTTAGGCAGTTCCTGCTGTGTCTCTGGTTGTAGTTCATCATCGCTGCTGGACAGACACCAGCCCAAGTCTTCCTGGGAACCACTCTTCTGCTTTTTAGGGGCTAACTCTGAATCTGTGTTGCTGAATTTCACAGGTGAGACCTGTCTCTTGTGTGCAGCTTTGCGAGCCTCAGAGCAGGTGTACGTGGGCTCCCTCGATGCTGTCTGCCCAGCCTGGGGCAGAGAGGATGTTGATGGCTTGTCAGATTTGGGCTTTTCATCCTCACTTTCGTCACTACTGGATATTGTCCACCTCCCATAATTGCCTTCCTGAGACATTATCCTTCTGAAAAGGAAAGGTGGAAACGTTATTTTCCACTCAGCAGGCAATTGGCAACATCTTTATTGCCATCAAAGTCCCTACCAGATGAGACTGCGGGACATGTGGCACTGCTGCTGCCAGGGGCTGAGCCACTTAGCCATGACCAGGGTCTCCATGAGGGGTGGACAAAGCGACAGCGAGCACCCGGCCACCTCCTCCTTCCCTTTGTCTTTCAAGCTAGACCCTGGGAAAGGATTAAGGCCACCTTAAGGAACTTAGAAAATTAAAAAAAAAAATTATCTTTATGTGTATGAGTGTTATGCTGCATTATGTAAGTGCACCCATACAGCAGAGGTCAGAAGAAGGCATTGGATCCCCTGGAACTGGAGTTATAGAAGGTTGTTAGACACTATTTGGTGCTGGGACTGAACCTGGGTTCTTTACAAGAACAACGAATGCTCTTTACTGCTGAGCCATCTCTCCAGCCCATCTTAAGGAACTTTTTAAGAGTAATTCTGATCATGCTCATTTTTTACTTTATTATTTTAGTTTTAGGTGCTGGGGACTGAACTCACGGCCTTAGGCTTGCTAGGCAATAGCTTTACCACTGAGTTAAATCCCAAACCCCCATGTCTATTAAAAAAAAATCATTATACTTACTTATTTAGTGTGTGCGTGTGTGTATGGTACATATATACCATGGTCCATGTGTGGAGGTCAGAGAACAACCTGCAGAAGTTTGTTTTCTCCTTCCATCACATGGAACCTAGGGATTGAACTCAGGTTGTCAGGCTTGGTAGCAAGTGCCTTGACCATTCAGCCATTTTACCAGTGGATATATGTATACCCATATATGTGTGTGTGTTTGTGTATGTATATATAATTATTACTGTTAGATTTCATTTTGTGTGTGGGTATGTGTGTAAATGGAGGTCACTGGACAAGCTGAGGGAGTCAGTTCTCTCCCTTCACCATGTGGGTGCGGGGGATTGAAATCAGGCTGTCAGGCTTGGCAGCAAAGCGCCTTTACCCACTGACCCATCTTGCCGGCCCACGCTCAAATTTTTAAAGTAGAAGTGGAACAAATAGATTTAACTTTCTTCAAGTACAACCACCCAGAAGACTTCAGTGACAAGAAAGTCTTACTTTCCCAAAGACAGGCACACACCATTAACTCAGCCAAGCCTTTGTGAGGAAAGTCAAATGTGTATACTCAGTACTGCCACAAGGACCCAACTAACTTTGGATGATTATCTTATTGGCCATGTCATAAATCAAACTACTACAACCTGCAGGAAAGAATTTGTAGTGAAGCAAAACACTTTTGTGTTCCAAACCACAGAGCTAATCTAATTTCTACTTTCTTGCTCTGAGGAGAGAAAAATAGATGAAATATGTACTTTTGGTGTTAACTAAAAACTGCATTCAATTCAATAATAAAGGGCTAAGTAGGTTTTCCAGCAGATCCTTAATTGATATCTTTAACAGGTTAGCACCAGATTCTGAGCAAAGGTGCAATACTCGAGAGTGTGTGCTTTGATGGTCAGGGTGTCTTCAAGGTTTTCTGTTTCAAAGACACTAAACAGGATGCCATTGTAAGTAGGGTTAACCAAGACAGACTGCTGTATTACTCTATTCAAAGAATTCACATTTCCTGTGTGTATGTGTATATATAATTATTACTGTTAAATTTTGTTTTACAAAACAAACAGGAAAGCTTGATTCTACGCCAGACGTTAAAAATGAATACACATGCATGCTAAAAACATCTATCACTTCTCATAATTTCTCACTTACCCAGCAACTACTTTAATTAATTGCCAGTCAGATCACCCAAGGTTTCTTCTGTAAATTATACTTTTCAGGGAACTCTTCTGTGAAGTGCAAGAGACACATCCTCCATGGTTCAATGTCACTGTTAACCCCAGCTAGCTCGGACACTACAGCCAAAGGCTTGGAGGCTGCAGAAGTGGTTGGGCTGCTTGCGCCTACAGTAGCTGACCCTAGGCTCTGTCTAGGTATTTTGGGCCCTCATATTTGCTTTCTAAATATTTTAGTAATTTCCATGATGTCCAACTCACTTCTGGAGGCTGTGAGAACTTAGTTTAGATATTTTACTAAATTGTTTCTAATCTACAAGGGTTAAACAAACAAAAAACTAGCTAACCAAACTACGACAAGTGCACCTTGAGTGTTAACAGGGTCTGTTACCTTTTTATTAAATTTACATCCCTTTAATGTTCTAGACTCTAAAGGCTGGTAGACAGACAGACTTAAGCAGTCCCAATGTGCTTTTAAGGAACTATTTAACAGTTACAATCTTATGAATTTAAAAGAACCACTTAAGGAAAATCTCTGAATGTTTTGACTTCTTTTTTTAAAAAAATATTTATCAGAGTCAGGCATGGTGGTGACGCCTTTAATCCCAGCTGAGGCTACAGGGAGACCCTGTCTCAAAAAGACCAAAAAAAATTTTTATTTATTATTTTTATTTTATGTAAATTAGTGTATTAGCTGCATATGTAAGTGCACCCGTGTCATGCAATGCCCTAGGAGGACAGAAGAAAGCGTCAAAATCCCCTGGAGTTACAGACAGTTGTTAGCCACCATGTGGGCGCTGGGAATTGAACCCCAGTCCACTGCAAGAGCAGTCAGTGCTCTTAACCATTGAGTCATCTCTCCAGCCCTGCTTCTTTTGACTTCTAAAGCAACTGTAAAGCAGGGAACTTGGTACCAGAAACTTCAATTAAGAGGTCTCATGCAGAGGCTTTGCAGAGTCTGGTCTTGGAAGGACTGATTCTCCAAAAGGACCTCCCTTCTCCCCTGAGGGCTTCCTGAGGTTCTCACTCCACATGTGGTCCTGAGTATTCCAGCTTTGATGTTGGACCTCTCCCATTGCCAGGCACCAACAGGCTTTCCATTATTTTTCTATTACTCTTCTACAGCTGCAGTATGCCTTCACCTATGCCCAACTGAACTTCTAGAAATAAAAATCAATCTGGGGTGTGGGGTAAAGACATGGCTCAGCAGTTACGAACACTGGCTGCTCTTGCAGAGAACCCAGGTTCATTTCCTAGCACCCACATGGTAGCTAACAACCATCTGTAACTCTGGTTCCAGGGGAATCCAACACCCTCTTCTGACCTCTGCAGGCATTGCATGACACCTGTGTACTTACAAACATGCAGGCAATAAACTCATACACAAAAAATAAAAATACATAATTTTTTTTTAAAAAAAGAAAGTACTGCAATAACTAAACTGATATAATTCTCAAACTAAAAATATGTAATTATATATTAGAATATAAATTCACAATTCTATGTCTACTATAATTCTTGAATATTATTTACTAACAAAACTGTACTACAAAGCTTCAACAATAATGTGGTATTTGTCACCGTTCCTATGAGTTTGCCGTGAACTCCCTTTCCAAATTCTGCAACCTATACAAAGTCAATATAATCATGTTACTTCTTAAAGAAGGTAATGTTAATATTTTTTAATTAAAAAAAAGGAAAAACCCAAATAATAATAACTACAATAAACAACATTGCATTGGCAGTGAAAAAAAAGTGTTCTCAGGCTGGGCATGGTGGCACACAGCCATAACTCTAACACTTGTGAGGCTAAGACAAGAGGATACTGACTTTGAGGCCAGCTTGGGCAACACAGCAAGTTTGAGACTAGCCTGGGCTATATAGTGAGACCTTGTCTCAAAACAAAGTAAATAATTTTAAAAATTATGTGTGTGTATGTGTGTGGGGGGGATATGTGTATTTCAGTGCCCAATGAGGCCAGAAGAGGGCTGGAATTGGAGTTACAGGCAGTTTTAAGCCACCTAGCATGGGTGCTGAGAACTGAACTCTCATCCTCTGTAAGAGCAGTATACACTCTTACCTGCGAACTAGCTTTCTAGTTCCATAATACTTTCTTTTTAAAAGTTGGGTGGAGTCACACACCTGTAAGCCCAGAGCTGGGGAGGCAGACTGTGGATCTTTAGGACTGGGCAAACCCTTAGGGCTTGCTGGCCAGCTAGCCTACCCCACCTGGTGAGCTTAAACCAGTGAGAGACCCTGTCTCAAAAGCACAATTCCCCCCCCCCCCCCGTAAAGGAGAACCCATAAAAAGCCATGTTTACTGCTACTGTATTCACAACAGGAAAGGCAGGGAATCAGTCGAGACACCCATCAACAGATGAATGTATAATGAAAATGTGATAAAAAGAAACAATGGAATCCTACTCAGCTGTAAAGAAAAATGAAAAATTTCAGGCAAATGGATGGATCTGAAATATATATTAAGCGTGGTGACCCAAACTTAAAAAGACAAAAACCAGGCTGGAGAGATGGCCCAGCAGTTAAGAACACGGACTGTTCTTGCAGAAGACCTGGGTTCGAATCCCAGCACCCACATGGCAGCTAACAACTGTCCATAACTTCAGTTCCAGGGGATCCAACAGCCTCTTCTGTCCTCTGAGGACACTGCACAACACAGGTGCACTTACCTCCATGCAGGAGTAACATTCATACACATAAAAATAAATAAATAAAATATTTAAAAAAAAAAGAAAGACAAAAACCACATTCTCTTTCCTATACTTGTAACGTGTTTCTATGTGTGTGTAAATAGAGGTAAATGTGGGTAACATATAAAAAAAAAAAAACTAGAAAGGACACCAGGAGAAACTAAAAAGGGGTGTTGAGGAGGGTGAGGCTAAAATACAGCCGTCACATGAGAGCAGAGCGAAGAAGACTGGGGAGCAAGTTAGGAGGGGGAAGTTTAGGGGAGACGGAAGTTGGGGGTAAGACGCCACTAAAACACACTTTGTTTGAAAATGACATGATACCTAATATTTTGTAGGCAAATTTTAAAAATGAAATTAAAATCTTAAAATCCCAAACACAAAATGGTGGACAGCACCTGAGGCATGACACTTGAGGTTGTCTCTAGGCCTCCACACGCACATGCACACACTTACACGCACTAAACAAAAAAAACTGTTTAAGGTCTTCAGGCTGGGC